AATTACGAAGTTGTTCCTTTAGATTGGGAATTCCAAATCATGATTTGCATTTAATTTGGGCCTTTCCTTCACATCCGGCCCAACTTATATTCTAACTATTTCATTCCATAAACGTAGCCAAGTTTTTAACGAAAGGATTTGGTCTGGACCAAAACAAGTGGGCCAAAAGCACAAAACCTTGGCCCGAACTTAGTACTTAAATAAAGAGGAGAAAATGATGGTGGTATTATTAGTATTATTTGAAAGTTATTAATTGGGTGTATTTGGCTTATTTATTTTTTATTTATTTATTTATTTTTTGCTTGCACGCAGTGACGTATCTAGGATTTTTACTCAGGGGTGTCCAATTTTAAATACAAAATAGCGAGATTGTAGTTTAAGTTAAAACACTCATTTCATATAAAAATGTGTTTACTTATAAACATAAATATCGATATATGTAATATCAAGTTTTAAAAAATTTAGAATCTATATCACCATCAAAATTTTAAAAAAATAAACAAAAAATAATAAATTTCATGTATTTATAATTTAATTTCAACATCTATAATTTATAACAAATTAAGTTTTTTGATTTAAAATTTGATTTAAATTTAATATTTACAGCATGTTGCATTGCATTTTTGTTGATTAGAGCTTATCAAACGACCACTTTTTAAGAAAAAATAAATAAAATTAAAAATATGTGATTACACAAAAAATACTAACAGTCCAACTAAATACTCGGTTTTATAAATCACTAAATCGATTTACAATTAAGAGGCCGAAAGAGTAAATCATTATAAATATGTTTAAATATTTATCTAATAATGTAAAATATAAGGATCGTTTGTATATTTTTCAATAAATAGCATAGAAACTAAGTTTTAATTATTTATGTTAATTTAAATTAAGATATCATAAAAAAAAAGTTTTAATTATTTATATATTATAAATATTTTTTTGTATTTTTGTATTTTTGTCAATATATATATATATATAATGATATTTAAAAAATAAGGGGGGTCCATGGCCCCCTGGACCCCATGTGGATCCGTCTTTGCTTGCACAAGTTTGGTTTGATGATAAAAATGGCAATTCTGGATGATAATATACGTCGATCAAAGTTATTTCACTCCTTTCTGTTTCTAATTTGTATAAAAACATACAGTTA